GCTATACATTGTAACATTGATTTATTAAGCTGACTGTTTACATTCTCCTTCGAATACATCTATGTATACATAAACTATAAATTGAACTAAAATAAAGTAAGTAAATTGGACTGAAGATGTGTTTTTCACGTTTACACATATTTTGATCAATTCAATAAGAGCAAAGTTGTTGATGATTGCTCTTAACGTGGTACGCATGTATATACATGTAGTATGTTTGTTTCCATGTTCTTAATCCTTCGATATCGGCAACTTGTATGTACATATGTATAATTAATAGTTGCGTTTGCGTTGACCGGGTTGGCTCTTTCATTTTATTAGCAATATTTATTTATATATGTATGTCTTAATGATAGTAAGAAGCAATGCTAAAAGATGATGGTGATATGGGCGGTGTTGCTGGAAAATGCAAAACCGCAAGCCGGTCGGCAACAATGACCAATGTGTTGCTGTGGCGGCGGCGGCGACAAAATAGTCGATGTACGAAAAAGTTTGACTATATCTGATTTTTTACAATCCTTCTGTTATACTTTTTATTATGTTAAGAACTAGTGTTAATTTAATTACTTGTAAGTTTCTCCTTTTCATCTACAATTGAGTTATAACCTATGCACGTACATATGTAGTACATGAATAAGATTTCATAATATTAGCCTTAATCGCTGCTGTTTACACTTTTTTCTTTTCACTTTCCTATAACATTAATAATTGTGTATTTTTATGTTATAAACTAATTTTATTCACTATTTTTTACGTTTGCGCACAAATGATTTTCCCCAATTCTAAGGGACGACATCACTTTGCCGTTGGCTTCGCGCTGCTTGCTTTTCTCATATATGTTAATGTAGATTTACTTGCTTGGCCTTATGTTGGTTGACGCGATTTCACAACTAACGAATATGATTTTTTAGAAAAAATTTTCATAAATTTTTCTTTTGTCTATTTTACAATTTTTCTTTCTTTATCTTAATCAACGTTTTTAGGTTTTTTTTTTTTTAATTGTAAAAATTATCATTAAGCAGCATTTTATTATATACTTTATCAAAATGTTAGTTACTGGTTTTTATCAGTTGTAATCAGTTTCTTTTTTCTCTGTTAGTAGTGAACGTTTTTATGTCGATTTATGTTTATTTTTTCGTTTCATTCACCTTCTCTTTCTCCTTTGCCCTGCTACCACCATCATTATTATTCTTCACCCGCATGCTTGTATGCGCTCTCGCATTGGTTATCGCTAATGTTGATTTGCTGCTGCTGCCTGCGGCTCTTAACTACACAATTGGCACCCCCTGAACATCCATCATTTCGTCCTGGGGCGATGGGCGTGGCGGAAAAGCTTGCAAATGTGGTGGCGTTGCTCTCGGATAGACGCCGCGTTGTGGCGGAAATTGCATACGGTAGGAGCCTTCGTGATGTTGCCGAGGTGTACGACGCGGTGATCGTGCTGGCATGCGATTCGCGCGTTGCATGTCCTCTAGAATTGATGGTGCTACGTATGTGAAACCCTGCGGAAAAATGTATAGATGTTATTTTAAGATAAAATAAGGAAATTTTAAATTTTAAGAAGAATATGATCGTACATTTTCTAGTTTTCATGCTGTGTTGTCTTACAACTTCTTCTAAACTCTAGCTAGCAAGCGTATCGAAAAACAATGCAAACAATATTCTTCTCAACAATGACAGCGACTGAAGTTTACTTAAACCGGCGCTTAGTCAATCAATACATACTCTAGCCCATACAATCCATAGTTGCAATACCACACACATATTACATATGTTTTATTAAAGCTTCAATCGACTTTTCGTGCTTTGTTTGTATGTCTAGTTCAATGGTCCAATTGTTTGTTTTATTTTAAGTGTAGTTCAATGCCTTGTGCGCTTCTTTAACGCCATTGTATTGTTTTAGCATTCGTCATTGAGGGCAGTTGCTCAATTTCAACTAAAGTAGTCATAGTAGCGTAACGAACGTTACTAGCACGCATGTACATAATATAAGTACATACAGTGGTCCACTAAACAATAGCAGTGCGATATTTTGATCAGTTTTGGCTATTTGTCTTTAATTTTTGTATTGTTTATTATTTTTTTTATTATAAAAGTCTAGCTGGGTTATAAAACAAACTCCAAATAAATTCAGATTTCAAACTTTGTACAAAAATTATAAAAATTCAGCAAATTTTCGGTGAATTTTCAAACTTTTTAATCAGAATCTTAAAAAAAAAATCTTGGTATGCAATTTTGTAGTCCATTTATTTCTAGCTTACGAAGGGCAAGTTTCAAGCTGCTAAAAAATTCCGATGATTTTTGCCCATTTTTTCGCTGGCAGTGTCCTCCATATAAAAGAAAATTGTCGAACACCTTCAGCCAAAAAAATTCTCAAAAATTAACGCGATTTTTTACCAACTCGAAACTTGTACTTTACTAGAATTAAATGGGCTACAAAACTGCATACCAAGACTTTGATTAAAAATATTGAAATTTTGGTGAAAATTCGCTGAATATGTATAATTTTTTACAAAGTTTGAAATGTGGTGTTTGTTGCATAACCAGCTAGACTTTTATAAAAAAAAAAATAATAAACATTAAATAAGAAAAAACAAATAGCCAAAAGTGGCCCCACTCCTATTATTTTGTGGACAACTGTATGTATGAATTTACAGACGCTTCTGCTACGTTATGGCATAGTTGTATGTTGATCATACATTTTGTTAGGATACATAGCCAGATTAGAGACATCAGTTTGTTTGTAGAAACCTTCAGATGAAGTGAACAAGATCGATGTTGTATTGATATGCAGCTGGTATTTTTTAGCACAGCTATCCAACAAATCTATAAACATTACGGCATCAATATTTAGGCATGCACATACATATATACATATTTACAATGTATTTATGTACATACATTACATAGACATACATACAGTGCACATTTTCATTAAAATTTTATTAAACTCGATGTACAAAATAACTATGGTATGTTCATACTTTGATAAGTAATTAATTATACACATCAAAATGTTAAGGAACATTTGACATTTAAAAATGTAGTTTTTCTATAAAAAAAATATTAAATTTGTAACTGCTTATTAGCATTGCGCTTTACGCCTTTAACAGCTGTAAACTCATAGTATTATACAGAGCAGAAATAACAGAATAATACTCGTATCAAGTATAGTTGACAAATTTGGGAATTAAAAAACCTGTGTGACTACGCTAAAAAGAAAAGTCATTAAGTATATTTCCGCAGGCTATTTTTTAAAGGTAGATAATTTTTCATAATTTTTGCGATTACAATGCAAAGTGGAAATTCGGTTTTTCTAGGTAAGCCCTGGTTTTCGAATACAATATAATGAAATTTATAAGTTTATTTGTTCATTTTAAATAATTTTAATTTAAAATACAGTTCGATCTAAAATACAGTGTCACAAAGAATTTTTCGCAATGCATGCAAAGTATTTTTTTTTTTACTGCAAATAATTACACAAACTTATTGAATTTTCCTAAGTTTTGCATACAGTTTAGCGATTTTATTTTTCGGTATTTTGTTGTACCTAGTATGAACTATATTTTTACACAAAATTAACGAAAAGAAATTAGAATAAAAAACTTTCCATATATTGCGAAAAATTCTCCGTGCGAATACTTTTGTCCGCCTCTGTATGTATAACATAAATCGAATAAATTAAAATTTCAAAAGTTGCACAGAATTCACAAAAACTAACAAAACTTCAAAAAACTTTATTAAAATTTCCACCTTTCAATTTTAGATCAATAAAGTACAAGTTTTTAATTCGCTAAAATTATCGTTGATTTTGGAGATTTTTTTTTTTGCGTGAGCGGTGCACATTATCTTCCATATAAAAATAAATTTTTTTTTCATATCACGCATATTTTTATATGGTAGAAAACGCAGAAGAATGCTAGCAAAAATTGCTAATCAACAGGAATTCTTTAAAAAAAAAATACCAAAAATCGACGGTAGGTCACAGCTACTTCAAACTTGCATTTTATTATACTAAAATCCAATGAATTATTAAACTGCTTACCGAAACGGGTCTAAACATTACGGTTAAAAAATTGGAAATTTAGATGAAAATTTGTTGTTATCTGAAATATTGATTAACTCGGTTTTTTATGGTATGGTTTATTATGAAAAACATGGTAAATGTTGTAAAATCACCAGGTGAGAATTATAAGTTTTAAAAATTTCAGTTTGAATTGAATTTGTTATTACAACTATTCAAATTAATTAGATTTCAAATATGTTTAAAAATAATATTTCTATTTGAAGAATGTTTGAAAAAATGTATGTTACTTTTTTGTTTTCTTGAATGAAAGACTAAAGTTACCTAGACGACTTTTCCGCCCATACCAGGGTTAAGTCAACGCCATGCAATACTCTCTATGTATAAGTAATACATGTTTTGTTTAAAAACTTATAAAATATAAACAATTATGCAAAGAAAGCCAATTGCAATGAGTTGGCCGCCGTAGCGCGTTAAACCCGAGTTCGTTCGAATAACTTGGCAGGATTACATAATTTTTTTGCTTTTTATTTAATACACTATTTTTGTTCACCTTTTTACTTTGCGCTCTACAAAAGCGTCGCAAAAATATGTTCGAGTTTGTTGGCACATGTAATTAGATTGCACTTGCGAATTGTTTTCCTTACACTGGCATGTACATATGTATGTAATTAAACAAGTAACTATGTGAGTAGTTATGTATGCATTAAAACATATATTATTTTATTACATACATACATACAAATGTACAATCACGTAATACCAGCGGGAAACACTAGCGACCCCATAAAGTGCAAAATTAAAATTCAAAATAAATTGACCAAAGCAGGCACATCCAAACCAAACGTTGCGTTCAAGCAGAAACGCATGCGCACGCACTCAATTTTTTAATTATTTTTTTTTTGGGGACAATTTAATAACCAGATTAGTCAAACCTAGTGTAGTTATTTATTTATAGTAAAACACTAAATCTATGAAGGTTAAACACGTATGCTGGCATGTCTATATTTCACGTTCAACTGTCGAAGAGTTCAGAGCTATAAGTTTAATATGATAAATGAGGTCAAGGCCCTACATTGCACTCTATTTTGGGTTTAGCAAAATCTAGCAATAAAAAGTTTCAAGTTCAACAAATAAAACCTATTGAACTAGTCACTTTTGGAGGGCCTGACCGATAAGCCACTATTTTGAATTTCCATTTGATTATTATAAATTGATTAATTTATGTTCATGTATAAATAGTAGGTACATACATATGTATATTAAGGTAATTTTGTAGTTGTTAGTGAGTAAAAACGTACAAAATATTTTGAATATTTTTGGTCTGTGGCTTTATTTATGAAAATATGAAAAGTATTGCGAATACGTCTTTCTTAAGAATTTGGCTTTAATGAAATCGAATCTATTTGATAAGTGACTTAAAGCACAGACAGACGGCAGCGTTTATCCGGATTAACGGCGATGTTGATCTGATTAAAATTGTGCCTTGACCGACGGCAGTAATGCGGATTAACGAGCCGCAAGGTCATGGGTTCCAGTCCAACGGCCAGTAGAATTTTCATTAATTTTTTTTTTATAAATTTTTTATGAGTTCTATATTTTTTTAACTTTGCTTTCAAGTAGTTGATGCTGACTTTTTTAATAAAATTAAACTCTAAAAATTTAAATTAACAAAAAAAATTTAAAATAGATTGATAAAAAATAAAACTAATGAAAACAAAATAAGGCATAATTAAATATATAAAACAAATGAAACAAAAAAAGTAAAAAATTAAATGAATAAAAAATTGGCAATCGCTCCAACCGAGGATCGAACCTGGCGCCTACACATTTGTAGCACGCAACTCTCATGTGATCGAAAATTCCCCTAATCCGAGTAAGTTCCCAAAAATTTTCTGCATTTGTTCGGCTGCTTACGCGCATTTAAAGACGAAAATGCATGAGTTCATGCAAATAAAGGCTGTTTATGCAAATAAGCGAGCCCGTTTGTCACCAGTATTAGGGGTTTTGGGTTTTGATTTCAATCTAAGTAGGCTGATTTCCACGGTCTTTTATTTTAACGATACAATTTGTAGACATATTTTGACACAACTTTCTTTTCGGTAATTCTTGCCGATACCTTTAATACTATTGGCTAAAAATAGTCAGATCGTCGATTTAGCAATGCAAATTTAAGTGGTATATTGTTTTTTTACATAATGGAGCACGAATTTCAAAGTTTATGGCTAAACATTTTTTTAAATCTGACATAGTGAACTAAAAACATTCACAGATCTTAGTGCATTAAGCTTACATTCCAGCAAAAGCTAAAGCAATATTTTGTTGTAATTTGTTAGAAAATTTCTCGGTAATTAATACCATTTCAACACCCTCCGGTTTCCGATTACAGGGCGGCCGGTGTTTGTAAAGCAATTATTCGAATATGGGGATAGTCCCAGCCCTACTCTACACATATGGAAAACATATGGGGTCAGTAGAGCTGTCAAACTATCGCCGATACTATCGATAGTATCGATAGTCT